CCTGGACTGAGTCTACCAGGTTGATCACAGTCCTCAGGGGAGGATTTGCCCTGGAGGAGGTGGGAATGGGGGGGTGGGCTGGGGATTAGGGGAGGGGGTGGGAGGGGGGAGAATAGGGGAACCCGTGGCTGATATGTAGAACTGAATGGTATTGTAAAACAAAATAAATAAAATTTAAAAAAAAAAAAGAAAAAGAAAACATAAACATAAATATGAAGGAGCAATTCTAAATCCCAGGAGCCAAAACCAGGAAACTGGAAATCAACTTGTCCAATCTCAACAACCAGCAGCAATGATCTGCAAGTATTTCAGTAGACCATATAATTGAGGGAAGGCACACTTTTTTCAAGCACATTTCATAAAAGAATTATTACCCTAATTTCCAAACCATGTGAGACATTTAAAAAAGATCCTAGTATCAGGCAATACACTTGAGTGACATATTGGAAAATCCTGAATGAGAGTAATTGATAGCTCACATCAAATTCAATACCACATTAATAAGACCAGACTTCACGATCAAGCAGAAACACTCAAGGTTCGTCAACAACAAAAGAACACAGCTTACACACCACACTGAGGTAAGTCCTAATCAGACGTCAGTGGAATGGAATGCCTAATTCAGGAGGAAACCTGGGATTAGTGAAAGTGTTACTACAAACAGCAAGTTCCACAAACACAAGTGTCACATTTTGTTCACTCCAGGTCATGAGCAGGCAGGGGGATAGCCTGTGCATATGGTCCCAATTCAATGGGTTGGGAAGTGAAATATAGCAGATAAATATGACCAAAGTACTGTACAGACAAATATCAAAATAATGATCAAATTCCTCATCCTATGCACTTAATATATAACACTAAATTTGTAAAAAACAAGAACTCAGCCAAAACCGACAAAGACGTTGATAAAAGAAAAATAGCTTGAAATGAAGCAAGAGGAATTACAGGGAAAAATTAGTACCCAAACCAATAATGTACATAAAGAAATAAATAAATGCTAATTGTCAAAAGCCCAAACTGAGAACCTGGGAATTAAACTCACTATGTCCAGATCCAACAGGTCAGAAAAAAAGGTCAAGTATATGAGAAACAACTGAGTCCAACTGCTCTCCCAGCAACCAACTGCTTCTCTGAAGTACAGACAAACACAGTCCCAGGTAGTGGCTTTTGATTGGTTAGTATCTAGCATACCTCACCAGATTCCGTGTGATGTCACATACAAATGACCAATCAAGGCTTGACAAGAAATCAAAGTGATTTTTTAAATTATTTTTCCGTTAAATTATTACATTAATTATTAAATCTTTTTTTTTTGTTCACATTCTTGTCCCCAGGACAAATGCCCTTAGCAGAGAGGGCTGCTATCCCTCCCCACCCCACTCCTGTTACTTTCCCAGAAGCCACAAAGATTCATTGCCGTCACAAAGTCATACATTGCCCATATCTCTCCCACCCACCCCATGAATACAATCAATGAGGTCCCCAAGTAGCCTAAATTCCAGATCCCATGCTCTGTCAAGAAGCATAGTTCTCATGTTAACCAAGCCTGCTTCTTGATATTGAAGCAATTCCTTTCCCCTCAGAAACCATGACGTTCATGGAGACATACTTTGTCTGGTAGGAATAAAACCCCTTCAGGCACCCAATGAGTGTCCAGTCCATCTTTACTAATGATCTTTTGTCTGAAAGGAAGATCCCTCTTAGCATCACTGTCCTTCTGTAATCTCCCTCCTCTCATGAAATGTAGAAAAATACACCTAGGTGGTGGTGGCACATGCCTTTAATCCCAGCACTTGGGAGGCAGAGCCAGGGGGATTCATTCACACATACAAATTGACACAAAGCAGAGCACACACACAACGTTGAGGTAAGTTTTATAATCGGACATCAAAAAAATGAAATGCCTTTTTCAGGAACACATTTGGAACTAGAGAAAGTGTTACTTCAAATATTCCAGTTCCACAAACACAAGTGTCACACGTTTGTTTCCTGAACATGCAGAGGGAAGAAAGAACCTTAGATCATTAGGAAGTACTTGTCACATTCTAAGTGTGGGTAAATCAATTAGAGCTTGTAAATAGGATCAAAATGCAACATACTCAGATATGAGAATGCAGGATCAAATTTCTCATGCGATGGAGATAATCTATACCAGTATGTGTGTAAATTACACCAGAACAAAGGCAAAAATGACAAAGAAAAGAAGTTGATAAAAGGAAAATGAGGTGAAATGAGGAAAAAGAACTTACAGGCAAAAATCAAAACCCAAACCAATGATGTCAATAAAGCAATTAATAGATACCAAGAGACAAAACCCAAACTGAAAGCGTGGGAAATGTACTCACTAAGTTGAGAATCCTACAGGTTTTGAAAAGTCCAAATCTAGCAGAAACAACTGAATCCAACTGCTCTTCAGAGAACCAACTGCTTCTCTGAAGTACAATGACAAAACCCAGCCCTAGGTGGCGCCCTTTTATTGGCTGATATCTAGCTTACATCACTTGGATTCCATGTGATGGTCCAATCAAGGCTTGGCAAAATCCATAGTGATTTTTTATTTTTTTTCTCTCACGTTCTTGTGTCCAGCCACTCTACTACTAATTTTTCTCATGTGTGGTCTATTAGTTGCCAAAGATCTACTCACAGGAGGCAGGGTTTATTTAACTTCAGATTTATAGAAACACAAGTCAACACAATGGGAGGAAATAATGGCATGAACATCAGTAGAGCTGTCCAGTTGGTTATATGGCATTTGTAATCTTGATATTCTTCTCTCATGTCCTTGTCCTCTCCAAGTACCATTAGTGCAATCTTAATCATGTGTCTCTAGTCAGGCAGTGTCACGTTACATTTTAATACCACGACTGATTTAGTCAATCAGTGGTTCTTTCCCTCCCCTAGTCCTCTCTCATTTAACACTAATAAGCATGAGATACATGACCTTGAACTGACCATGTTTATAAAGGTCGTATAATCCTTCAATGTGCATCTTCCAGAATTGACTCACATCTCAAAATATGTAGATGCCCCTGCATAAAATCCCCATAGTTTCTATGTTCCAGGAAGTCACTGTCTTCCAATCAATGCCCAGGCTCTCCTTACCTGCTGCAGTTAGTAAAACTTCTCCTGCCTTTGTGTCTCATCTCACTTACTTTGGCTCTGTAGTCACCATCATGAGAGCCCTTGGTCTTCCAACATGGTGCCTCTAACCTCTCAGTGTAGCCACCCAGCAGGCATCAGGGATTCTCTTCCCTACTGTGTCAAGGACCTGTGATGTTAGACTGTCTGTAACCTATTTGTGTCTCAGGGCAAAGAAAGAAAGACTTCCACAGAGGATGAAGAAGAGACAGTCCACCTGAATGAACATGGTTCAGCAAGCATCTTTTTAGTGGGATGTGGCAATTTTGGGGTATATTCCCAAAAGTGGTATAGCTGGATCTCGAGGTAATTCGATTGCCATCTTCCTGAGACCCTTCCATACTGGTGTCCATAGTGGCTGGACAAATTTGCACTCCTACCAGGAGAGGGTGAGTGTTCCCCTTACTCCACGTCCTTGCCAGCAGGAGCTGTCACGTGTTTTATTGACCTAAGACATTGTAATGATTAACATGAAATCTCTAAAATGTTTAAATTGTCATGTTCTTGATGGTGAAAGATGTTCAACTTTTCTTTTAAGAGTTTCTCAGCCACTTGAGTTTCTCTATGGAAACTACTGTTTAGACCTCTAACCAATTTTTCAAGTGGATTATTTGTTTAGCTGATATCTAGCTTTTACTTTTTGTTATTTGTCTTGAATATTATCCCCATAACAGGTGTGTAGTTGATTAAAAAAAAAAACTTGTCCCATTCTCTAGGCTGCCACTTTGCAGAAGCATTACAGTTTTATGAGGTCCAATTTTTTTCTTTCTTTCTTTCTTTCTTTCTTTATTTATTTATTTATTTATTTATTTATTTATTTATTTATTTATTTATAGATTTTGTTCTAATGGTGGTCTGTTCAGAGAGTTTTTGTGTGCCAGTGAGTTCAAGTTTATATTTTCTCTTATATCAGGCTATTTGTATCTGTTTTTATATTGATCTCTTTGATCCATTTGGAGTTGACTTTTGTGCCGTGTGATAAATGTGATTCAATTTGGATTCTTCTACGTGAAGGAAACAAGTTTGACCAGCACTGTGTGTTGAGATTGTGTCATTTTCACACTATGTGTTTTGGGCTGCTTTTAGGAGTTCATAGGTGTGTGGATGTATGTCTGAGTTTTCAATTCCATGCCATTCACCACAGTGTCCCTTTTTCTGCCAATACCATGTTGTTTTTATAACTATAGCTCTGCAGTACAACTTGAAATAGGGATTAATGTCCATTGCACATTTCTTATATTATGAGAAAATCATATTTTTAAAGACACATACATTATAGTGGCAGTTGCCTGGAACCTTGGAACTGGAGATTCTTGGACAGTAGGATTGGAAATTCTCACCCAGGAAGGAGTCCATATCCAGTCCCTGCTTCAAACAACAACAAACAAAAGAACACACCTAAGTCCAGATACATAGATTAATTTGCTACTCTGTTGTTGTGAGAAAATACTGACCTAAATAAAGCAAGAAAGGGAGCAAAGTTTTCATCACAGTTTAAAGCCCATCATGAAGAAGACACCCAGGCAGGAACTCTAAACACTATCATAAATCTCTACTTTCACTTTTCCATGAATTACTTAATGAATAAACAGAGCAGAAACAAATTTAAAATCCTTCAGTAGATTCCCAAGCTTTTGGTGACCTGTATGCTCAGGAAAAGGGCCACATACCTGGTGATGGCTGAGATATTGGGATCTCGAGAAATGGATCCTCCAGGTATGAGGTTTAATTGAGGGTGATGCCCCACCCCCTTCTATGAATTCCAGTAGAATCCAAGGTGGGCCAATCCTCATTGAAAATTTGGGGCACGGTCTGTTCAATTCAGGTGGATTTGTTTCGGGGTCGTGGCTGTGTGGCAGGGGCAGGGCTGGCATAGATGGCAGGTCAGGATGCTGCAGCAGGTGTGGTCCTGTGAAGGGATGAGGCTTCAGGCCTGAATGTGGTCTCCATGCTGAGCTGGAGCAGTGGGTGAAATGGAGCTCAGTTTCTAGGCTCTGACCTCTCCTGACTACATGGAAGTCCTGTGGTGGCCAGTGTGGGTGAGCCAGGGGCCCTTCTTTCAATCTGCCTGCAGTAGATTCTATGCAGGCAAAGAATCTGCTTCCTCTCCTTCAGTAATCCCCAGACCTGGTATGTATTCCTGGAAGCTTGAACCAGAGGGCTAGCTGACAGGAACAGAGGGACAGAGATTCCGGAGGGAGGTTTTGTGGGGCCAAACTGATGCTGTCCTTTTTTAAATGGCTTATATTTATTTTGTGCATTGGTGTTTTGCCTACACCTATGTCTGTGTGAGGGTGTCAGATCCCTTGCCACTGCAGTTCCAGCACTTTTGAGCTGTCATGTAGTGCTGGGAATTGAACCCAGAACCTGTGGAAGAGCAGCCAGTGCTCTTCAGGGCTGAGCCATCTCTCCAGTGCAATGAATCTTTCTCTGTCCTGCAAGCCAGCTCCCCAATAATGACAGAGACTTAAAATTAATTATGAAAGCTCAGCCTTAGCTTAGGTTTGTTCTTATACCTTAATCCATTTCTATTCATCTATGTTCTGTCATGTACAGCCCATTCTGCTTCTTCCATTTCTCCTGGAATCTCTCGCGCCTAGATTCATCTCCTTTTCCTTTCTCTCCCTGGAAATCCTGCCCATAATGGCTGCCTAGCTCTTGGCCATTCAGCTTTTTATTACACCAATCACAGCAAATACAGCTCACACATTGTACAACTGTCCCACACCACTCCAGCCTTATGTTTTGTTGTCTTAATTGACAGCTGTTAAATCTTATCCTGACTTCTGACTACCTTGAGATGAGGAATATTAGCCAGGCTGCTGGAAGGATTGCTTTTATGGCATCCTGGCTGCCTGGGTACTCCACAGACACCTTAAGAAGAGACACAAACCAATAGGATCTGTGGCTCAGGGGATAGAGTACCTACCTGCCTAGTGTTCACAAAGCCCTGGGTTCTATCCCCAGCATTACGTGAGCCGGATTTGGTGGTTCATGTGTGTATACCAGTCCCCATGTAGGTATAGGCAGGAGGTAAGTTCCAGTTCATCCCTGGCTACATAGTGAGTTTGAGGTCAACCATGGATACATGGGACCTTGTCTTAAAAGACCAAAAAACAAACATCTTAAAATCTCCAATAGACAAAGAAATGCGCTAAAAGCCAGGAAAAGAGCAGTGTGTGTGTGTGTGTGTGTGTGTGTGTGTGTGTGTGTGTGTGTACTCAGGGAAAGTGCTGACTGTATCATCTGATGGTAGCCGCAGCTGAAAGGAAGCCCAGTTTGCCGGAAGGAAGTGATTATCAGATGGGAACACTATGGGTCACAGGATCTCGTGATCTGCATTGTGGCTGGAGAAAGCTGCCTTGTGTCCATCTGCAGAACTCTTGTTGATTGTTTCTGCTTGCATGGGTGACAGGGGTTCTGGTATGATGGGACAAAGGGATGTTGTAAGTTTGGAGAGAGAACATTTAAGACCAACAGCTCAAACCTGAAAATTGTTTTACATTGTTATGAAATCAGAATGAGATATATTTACTTATTGTGAATAGATGTTTCACCTGCACATCTGTCTGTCTGCTCAGTACACTCTTGCAGTGTCTTTAGAGGCCAGGGAGAGGATGTTAGATTCCCATGACCTGCAGTCACACATGTGGGTGCTAGGAATCAAACCCGGGTCCTTTGCAAGAGTATTCAATGCTTTTTTTTTTTTAGTTTTTTGAGACAGAGTTTCTCCATGTAGCCCTGGCTGTCCTGGAACTTACTATGCAAACTTTGCTGGCCTCGAACCTGGAGGTGCTACCTGCCTCTGCCTCTGGGAGTGCTGGGATTAAATGCTGACACCACCACTGCCCTTCACATCCAGTCCTCCCAACTGCTGAATCATCCTCAGACTCTAGGGAAATTATAGTAAAACAAGCAAATGAACAAACAACTTACAATGGCTGCAGATGTGACTCAGATGGGGATGTTGGTCAAGTGTTTTTCTAGCTGTACAAATCCCTAAGTTTCATCCAGCTCTCTATGAAACTGTGAGGGGACGGTTCGTGCCTGTCCTGTCAGCCTGAAGCAGGAGGAACAGAACTGCTCAAGGAGCTAGGCAGAGAGTCCAGCCCAAAAAGGTGTTTGAAATGCAAGCATGAGAATATGACTTCAGTCCTAGGGGGAATGGCTGTGTCTGGTGGTGTGTGCTTGCAATTGCAGGGAAGACAGGCTCCTCCCTGAAGCATGCTGTCGAGACAGCCTACATGTCTGTGGTGGATGGCTCCTGAGGAGGAATAGGTTGGAATTTGTCCTTCAGCCTCTACACATACACACACCACAAATTTTAAGGTTATC